GGTAGGTGCCTTTGAAATGTACCAAATCGTAATTGATGCCATTAATTGCGTGACTGCATCGCTTTAGAGCCAAATCCAGAAAATCAAGGTATGCTCAACTTAGCTTTGACTCTTCAAACACCTTTTGAGCCCACTTCACCCATCCATATTAGATTTTCACTGCAACTTCAATACTGAGAGGAAACAGAAGGGCACGAAATCGGATGCTTCGACACCTTCGGGATCCAAACCTGGTGACCAGCCCGAAACAATGAGCTTCCCGCCAATGCATTCCTCTTCAGTGCAGGCGAGTGTTGCCCAATCTTACAGCTGCCCATCAGAGATACTTCCAAATCGGCAACAAGGTTTGGTGAGTAATTTTTATTCTATGGTTTATCTTATCCATCTTTCAATGTTGCCACGATACCCCGCGACAGCTGTGACAGACTCCCCCAAGGAGTTTAGAGCATTGTCTACTTCTCTTGAGGATGTCACTAAGCTCGTTGCATTCCACTACAACATTCCATACGTGCCATCAACTTCAGACTTGCCAAATCCACAGGTCATTCACATGACGGCAGAGCTCCCAAAATGCCAAGCACGTCTCCTTCCTGATAGACCCAAGTCAAGCGCACCCCACGTTACGACTCTGGAGCAGACATGAAGTCAGGGACAACAGTTGAGACCGAAGCCATGGAGGAGCTAGCTGCAAGGGTGGTGGACCTGTCTCTAGCCGATCCACTTCCAGGTCACTGACTTAAATCAGATGCAGATGATGCATGAGCTGACAAGGGATTGCATTTGCAATAGTAGCAATGAAAATTGAGTTTTGTTTGTAATAGTGTTTTTGACCTGTAATGTTCAATCTACCACCTTCTCCAACAATCTCAGTTCTTCCAGCTCCCTTGAAAGGCATGGTAAACTCTTGCTTTAGGATGCGTCCTGCCTCCAGTGCCCATATGACCAACTCCAGGCAAGAACACCTTGATTGGCAGCACGAAAGCATCTTCCACTGAGATCCCCTGCAGTAGGTTTGTGAAAGCTTCCATGGGCAATATATTGGATAGAAAGCAATCCACATAACCCCAAATAGTGTCTGTCCATGGACCTGGCCCCGCAACATGGACGACACTAGATTTGATGACAGAGGCCATTATGTTCCTCTTCGCTTTCATTTGCCACAAGACTCCACCTATGTTTGCAAGAACTGTGTCTACAATGCCGTCAAAGATGGGATGATGAGGTGAGGAAGCCATTGTGCAACTCCAACCTCCCAAGGATACATCTTCTGCCATTTCTTCTACCCAAAAGAGTCGTTCTCAATCCCAACAATGACCCTGATGTTGTTTGTCTCAGTTTTGTTCCACCATAGAGTCTCTGCACACCGTTTAACCAATCCTCAATGGCACAACGTGGTTCCACATCACAGTCAACCCAAACACCACCAAAAACAAGGAGAAGAAGATATTGTCCCAGCTTGTACTGCATGATATTAATAAGTGCAGCGTCATAAAATGGAAGGATGGAAGGAACACAGATACAAATAAATGCATGCAAGGAAGTGTCTGACCAAGCAATATATCTATGGTGAGGGTGTCAATCAGCCCAGTCAAGTACATAGCCCAAATTCTGAATAATAGCTCAATCAAGAGACTGAGTTGTATGTATAACAGCCAGGATAGGAGAGGCAACATGTTGATGAGGGCTTGTAGTGTTCGATCCCCAGGCAATGTCATCTGACTCTGGGAGAATAACAAGCGTGTGATCATAGCATTTGTCTTCAGCAAAGTGCATTATGTTCTCAGGTGAGCAGAATATCTCCAGACCCAACGGGAGAAAAATTGGCCACTTGAGAAGCTGGGTGACACTGTTCAATCTGGAAAGCTGAAAAGCAGTGCAAATGTCCAGTTGCCAAAGACTTCCAGGAAGGTCAGAGGAGAGAAGAATAGTGTTTATACTCTTGGTGACTCTGATAGTGAGAATGCATGTCAAATGGCCAATCAATCCAGCCATGAGGATCACCAATTCAATTGCAAAGCCAGCAAGCTGAAAAGATATCCAATATGAGTATTTTCCAGGTGAGAACTGTTTGTACTGGAGCATTGTGATTGGTGTTACCATGTCAGAACTGCAACCACCCACTGGTAGCTCTTGGATCAATTGAGCTGATGTTGTTGAAACAACAGTGTAACCACTACCCTACCAGCTACATGTGGATGGCCATGAAGTACCAAGTGGGGTGAGCCAGTAACAACACATTTAATTACTGTGGCCATTCTTGGCCATAACCATACCAACCCCAAAGCAACATCAGGAGACCAATTAGGACATGGACTTCCCCCAAGTTAATTCCTAACCAGATGTTCCATCTCATCCCTCCAATGACATTCTCCTGTGCCCTCCCTTATGTTTCTGCTCCATTTGTGAAGCCACTGACTGTGCCATCCCTGGCTGTGCCAGACGTACAGTCACTATTGAGTGCAAAGTACTTGTGACAACAGGGAGTCCCCACACTGTGAAGATAGCCAAGAATGCAGAACACAATATAATGAGTCCACCAATACACCAGCAAAGCATTAATAACACCAACCTGAACATGGTGCTTGTAGAAGTAAACCTAACTAGTCTAACACGGGCTCCCTTTCCCTTCTGACCATGCCACCCCTGAGCCCCCCACACCCAACTGTGAGTGGTAAGCTCAGATGTCACATGTGACAGTACTCCTATGATAGGAGTACCCACAGACTGTGAATTGCTCTTGTGGGTTGATCCAGATCAAAAGAGCTGTCAAAATGATTGTGGCAAAAGACAGATTGACTGTGGGAACAATTGCTGTCATCAACATTTCCTTGTCACTAAACAAGGTGTTGCAATTGCCACCATGAGTGGGATGGAAGCCTTGATCTGGAGAAAGGCAGTGGAGTCTTCCAATGTAATTGAGCAACTGCACAAAAGTAACTAGCTGGTGGATCTTATGTTTGGTGAGGTGGAAGTGCACATTGCAGTTGATAGTGACACAGATGCTGGTTCTACAACCCTGTTGATGGCTGTCAAGATGGTGACTACATTTGTAAGACTTAATCAATTTGCAAGCTTCAGATGCAAAGGAGCAGCAACTGTAGCCAAACTCTATGAGGTGTTGGGGGAATGCTCAACAGATTCTGTTGTGCACTTCAAGCACTTGACCTGTGCATGAACAATGACTTTCTGCATCCAGCAACATCAAAATTGGCAAGAGTTTTGTCAGAGGCAATACTTATGTGTCCCAATGTGAGAACATTGGAAAAAAACTTAAAGAAGGTGGATATTGGGTCAATGAATAAGCTGATTCAGTTTGTTCTGGGTGCAATGAGACACAGGATAACATCACTTCAGGACCAAACTTGGGGGCTTCAACGTTGTGGAAAGAGGTGCATATGTAGATCTTGATATAGCACAGTGGTCACTTGTGTTCCCAAATGTGAGAATTTTTGGTGAACTGTTGTTCCCTGTTCTTGGGTTGAGCCATAATCCTGCTTTTGGATGAGAACTGACATCTCCACAAGTATATGGTTACCTGAAATTCCCTCATCTTGAGGTCCTCCACACTTAAATAACAGCAAATGATGCTAAGTGTCACCATAGCTTCAGGTGACATCCATTGACATGGTATATATAATGCAAGGTGTTAGGTGCCATGCCACTACTGTGGTCACGAAATTAGATGTGTGCACCTGCAGGATGCACCCTAAGTTTGGCATCGCGTTCCTGCAGGTGAGTTCCATGTATAAACCAACTCATTATGTACTTTTAATGATATAAACTCGTTCCTGCAGATTACAGGCTTGTGCAGCTCACCTAGGTTGTGTAGCACTAAGGCTTAGAGGCAATGCATAAGTCTGCCAGGGAATCTATTCAAAGCAAACAATCTACTGGAAGGACTTGTGCAAATGGCACCCAGTTTGAACAAGGTAGTTGCCATTTGTCCTCTGAATGGTGGGAGGTACCAATTGCCTCCCTGTAGTGGAACTAACACTTGCAATGGGTTAGTCCAATTGTAAAGCCTTTGGGTAGGTTGGGGCAATAATATAGCATTCAGGTAGCATTTATCCAGGTGCACAGCCCTTATTCATCCAGACCAATGCATCACATCACTGCCTCTCTCTTGTATCACCATCCACTCTCTCTCCAGTCCCACACTGCTACTTACCCTTCAGACATATCCCAAGAGGCTGACAGAGTGTCAGTTCTACCACATCCCAAGCAACAGGAAAAGGGAGTACAGGATATTGCGGGACTTGCTACACAACCTAGGTGAGCTGCACAAGCCTGTAAACTGCAGGAACGTGTATATATGATCAAATGTACATAGCAAGACGTAATGTGCATAGAACTCACCTGCAGGAACGTGATGCCAAACTTAGGGCACGTCCTGCAGGTGTGCACATCTAAACCCGCGGCCACAGTAGTGGCACAGCAGCTAATACCCAACACTCATACTACACTATATACTCCATGTTAGTGGATGTCAGTGTGACAGGACTTGTATCAAAGCTTAATGCAACTGCAGGGACAAAGGTATCATTTGAGATTGGTGAGGACCAAGAGTACTATCATAAAAGAGGGACATCCACTGTGCACAAACATATCATCAAAACCAGGAAACAGGCACTGAGGCATTCAAAGATGCTTTTAACAATGAAACTGGTACATGCACTGGAGAATTTTGCATCAGAAAATGGTTTTGAATTGCAGTGGTTGCATCAGGCATAATTTTGCATAATATGGTGATGCACTGCAGGATTTTATAGGCTACACTATAATTCTAAATTTCTAACCCTTCCCTGACCATGTTACATGCCATTGTTTTCTGCTAATTTTGCATAATATGGTGATGCACTGCAGGATTTTATAGGCGATACTATAATTCTAACCCTTCCCTGACCATGGTACATGTCATTTCAATTCATGCGGACCTCATTCTGAGTTTCGTTCTAAAATTTATATAATATAAGCAAATTTAAATAGAAGAACAAGAAGAAGTCGACTTGTCCGAGTGGTTAAGGAGATTGACTAGAAATCAATTGGGGTCTCCCCGCGTAGGTTCGAATCCTGCAGTCGACGATATTTTGAACTTTTTCCCATTGTTATTCGCCCTTTTTTTATTTGAGTAGAGTACTTGGAAAACTAATCACGGCCACACGGACGGTGTTTTTGGCACAAAGCAACTACCTGTCAACACTTGAACGCAACGAATACCTTCCGTCATCGCTTCTCAACCGATATTTGACGGCGACCATCATTCTATTATACATACTACATTAATCCACGACTTTCTGAATGCCTTTCTACAATTAGAATTAGCTTGTGTGGTGTGTACTACAAATGTTGGTGAGTTCGTTTCGAGGAAGTGTAGATGAACAGCCGAGACCGTTGTCGAAGAACCTTGCTTCATCGTGCCAGTATGTTTGCAAAGTAGTCGTGTTCGTGTTTGTGAATGCCAAGTGGTTCGGGGAAGCCCAGCTTCCTCCACTACCAACGTGGGTCGCGATGTCCGATCCCCTGCTCCCCCCTCACCGCGCTCCCCCCACCCACCCGTCTCCCATCCGCCGACCTTACCCTCCTCTCGGGTGACCGCGACCTCGCTCTCCTCTGAACGACGTGCCCACCAGTCGTCTCCTCTCCGAGACCTACAACGGCCATGAACGCTCCCGCCCACGACTTACGCCTTGCGCGACGAGGCTCACCCACTAGAGCGACACCGTGAATAGATTGTGCGTGTGAGGACGAGGGGTTGTGCGAGCGGTGCCGGCGGTGGTGCCGATGGTGGTGGATCCTGAACAAATCACAAGTCCAAAATGATCAGCACACAGACCACACCAACCCGACCTTCACCTGAGTCACCACTCACCATGTCTCAGGCGCCACGACTGCCTGTCCCACACCCGGCAACGAAATTGCGATCCTGCGCACATCCACAGGATGCGCCCGTATGTGGTCCCAACTTTCCTCCGACAAGCGACGTGGCCGGTGGGGGACATACACAGCTGCCCTATGTCGCACTGCGCCTCTCTCCACATCAGCCTCATCGTGAAGGTCTACATGTTCCAACAACCCTTCCCACTCCTCCTCCACGTCCTCCTGTCCATCCTTGCCCTCTGCCACCCCGTCGGCCCACCACACCCCAATCACCGCAAGAGCTCCAACGGTAGCCAGAGCACAGAACAGCCCCTCGACGGGCCGCCACGATGACGGATTCGCGGCACGTACGTGCCCAACGATCATCGGGAGAAGCGAGAGAGACCCATTGAGACACACAGTGAGGAGGCCGAACCTGCGTGAATATAGGTTAGTGAGTAGCCACCACAGAACCTGGCCTTGGAAGTACGTACCCTGTGGCCACCCCCCCGCCGTTTACCAACCCCGGCACGGCGCTCCACACCACACTCGCTGCCCCCGTGTACCCGACGCCCAAGACCGCCATACTCGCGAAGGGTGACAGGCGGGTCCATCCAAAGAGCACGTGCGCGGACAAGATGGACAGGAGAGAAAGGAAGAGTACGGGAAAGCGAGACGCGGGGCGCCGGTCCAGGAGGAGGCCAAGGGGGGGTGAGAGCAGGGCGGAGAGGACGTCGGGGAGGGCCATTGCTGGTTCGTGTGGGGGAGAAGGGGAGAGTTGGGTTGGGGGAAGATTCGACAGATTGTTTGGGTGTGTGACGTTACAGGAGCCAAGGACCCATCAAACGAACCGGCCCCCGCCCTCCGGGCATCGCCCGGCCACCAGCCGTCCTGGAAGAAGTCGGACGAGATGTTGAAGAAGGGGTTCACGCAGCCGTAGGCGCAGATGGTGACGAGGCACTGGTGGAGAGCGAGTCGGGGGAAGGGAGAGAAGTGGTGAGGAGGATGGGGGAGGGTGGAGGGAAGGAAGGGACGGAATGGGAGCAAGGTTTTAGTATCCCATGCATCGTGAGCGCAGCGTAAAAGAGATCCATTTCAGGGTGTCGGAGGCGGACAAGGTGGTTGGACGTCATGTCGCTCTTCCACGTCCATTAGCATCACACCCAACCACCCTCTTTTTCCTTCTTCCCNCCCCCCCGTCTTCCGCCCTCCTCGCGCCTCGACCACCCCACCACCCAGACACACCCAAGCAACTCACCATGCCCCAAAACCTCCCACCCAACCCAGCAACCTCACCCCACCGTACGCCTTCGTCTTCCTCGTCGAAGCTCTCCTCCGAATCTTCCACTGAGACCAAGCTGCCCTCCGTCCTATCTCCTCCCTCCGTCCCCTCCGCGTCCTCGGTGTAGCCGGGGGACCCAGCACGGACGACAAGAAGTGGTGTGGTCTCGGAGTGGAGGTGAGGAGGGGATCGGTACACGGCGGTTGCGTCGGACCTGTCCAGCACGGCCGTGTCAGCGTCAGCGTCAGCGTCAGCGTCAGCGTCGGCGTCGGCGTTGCTTGTGGTATCGGAGAGGAATTTGGTCACGTCCGAGGTGAGAATGAGGCGCGGGCCGTGAGGCGGGTGACGTCCGTCTCCACCATCACCTCCTCTGGTGCTGGCGCCATCATCAAAGGCGCTCGTACAGCTCCTCCTCCTCCGCGTCTTCCCCCCACTCGCTGTATCACGCACAGGCACACCCGCCGCGCGCCGGCCGTCATCTCTGTCCATCCAACTGACGAACCCCACCGCGACGATACTTGCCGTGCAGCACGCGACCCCCGCGAGTGGGGCAATGGTCACGCCGGCGGTCTGGGCAATCCAGGGCGAGAGGATGTCGTTGAGCGCCGTCGCTGTGCGGACAAAGGCGATGTTGAGCCCGACGGCGAGGGCGAGGCCCGGGAGGGATGCGGGGCGGGGTGTGAGAGGGGAGTCGGAGGAAGGGGAAGGGGACGGAGGAGAGAACCATTCGGTGGCGAGGCTCACTTGTGCGACGTCGACGGTTTCGGAGCCCACGCCGAAGAGCACGCGACCAGCGAGCATGAGTGGGAATGTGCGCGCGTGGACGCCGAGGAAGAACAGGGTTTGGCCGGTGAGGACGAGGAGGGAGAAGAGGGAGAGTGTGCGTGCGGGGCCGAGGCGGTCGGAGAGCAGGCCGCCTAGGAGGGGGAGGAGCGTGTTGGGGAGGGAGTAGGCGGTGTCTGTGGAAGGTCGGAGGGTTACGCAAAGGTTACCATGGCCGGGTTCAGTTTTTGGTGATAAGGGAGGGAACAGGCAAGAGCTACGCACAGAGAATGTTGAGTTTGTACTGCCAGTCGTCGTAGTCTGCACCCAGATGTTCTCGCAGATTGACGTTGAGTGCTGCGGGCTGCCGGTGGAGTGTCAGGTGACATCGATCGAGCTGAGTTTGCTTAGCGCACTCACCATGTCGTAGCTTTGCCAAGAGAGTGACCGCACAAATTCGAGTCCAGAGCAACGTCAGACTGTGCCACTCCAGACCGTCGCCGCTTTGAGTGCGCTCACCAGTAGTACGTCCCCAGCACGCACACGCACAGCGCACCAAGCATGCACCAATGGCGTGCGGCTGACACGTGACTCCCATCGTTGGCATTCATTGCGTGCGTATCCTATTCATTCGGTGTGCGAGAGTTGGCGTGCAATCGCGGTGCGTGCGGATGCCTGCAGGTGCGTCGCGGTGGGTCGGGGGGAGACGCGCGGGAGACGGGACGGATTCGGGGGTGGTCAGTGGGTGGAGGAGATTCCTGTGTGTGGAGTGGAGTGTGGGACAGGGGACGGTGAAGGGTGGGCGGCGAAACGGACAGCGTGACACAAAGTAACTGGCGCGAGGCCGACCGCAGCAGAGAACTTTCTTGCATTCACTGCCCCGAATTCACGAACCTCACGATCGAAGAGCATGTTCCAAATTATTCCATAGCCTGCTTGTTCGCGTGGGTTGTGTGGAGGCGCGACCAAGTTTTTCGGTCTGTTTGAGAGCGGGATGCTAATATTCCGAACTCCATTCATACCACTTATCATCACGCGACTTCTCCGCGTTCTCCGAACAATCGCCGTCTCTGGGACATTTAGTCTCCCGGCCCTGCAAGGAGGTTTCCAACAGGTTCATGCCCACCCTCGACAGGAAATGTCGACTTGGCATTGCCAAAGGCGTTTAAGGTGCTCCACGACGTGGCGGTCGGGCGAGGTTGGGAGCGTGGCGCGATACGAGACGGTGGACGGTGACACAATCGGCCTGTAAGTGTGGTCGCGGGCATTTTTGAGCGTCTCGTGTGAGCCATCCCGACATGTTCACTTTCGTTCAGGCAACATCCTCATCCGACACAACACTGAGCAAAAATGAAACATTCTAACTCTTCGCCGCTAACGACTTCTTGAGGATGACCAACTTCATGTCGACGGAGCATTCCGACTTGGTTCCCGACGCCAACATCGCCAACCTGAAGAACCAGAGCTTCAGCGCTGTCCACCTGTACGCCGAGACTTTCAATCCCGCGTATCCGAACGGGACGGGGAATGGCAGAACTCCAGGGTATGCAGCGGCGTGGCTGGATAATGCCGTGGCGAGGACAAAGGCTGCGAACGTGTACCTGATTATTGTGCTTGGTGCGTTGTGTGTCGGGGAGTGTGTCGTGGGGGAATTGTTGAGCGGTCGATGTGATTGCCGGAGCTTCATTACATAATCCTTTCTTGCTTTGATAGCGAATGGGGACAACAACGTCAAGTACAACCTCGCCTATGCGCGCGACTTTTGGACGGTCTATGCTGCGCGGTACAAAGACGAGGTGCGGTTTCTCCACACTCACGAACTCATCAACAGTGAATGACTTGTTCTCTCTTTTTGAACCCACCTCGAAACTCCAAAGACCCATGTCATCTAAGAAATCCACAACGAGCCCGTCCAATGTGCCCTTCGTACCTCACGTCCACACAGAGCCCCGGCGCCGTCAGCATAAACGTGGACTGTTACAAGATCATTCGTGCGGCTGCTCCAAACACACCGGTGCTCATGTTCACGTACGCGTCTCTTGGGGGTGGCGCGTCTGCAGCTGGTGCCGTTGCGGACGCACAGGCGTTTAGTAAGGCGGTTTTCCGGAATGCAAACGCTAAGTGGACGAATGAGGCCATTGCTATTACGGTACGTGCCATCTCAAATTTTTGTCCCTGCTGT